ATCGTTATCGTTATCATCTTAATAATCATGATCATTATCATCGTTATCGTTATCATCTTAATAATCATCATTATTATCGTTATCGATAATATTTTTATACTCACCTCGTCGTCAAGAACGTGATTGGTATCGTCTTGTACTCTGTATCTTGATGAAGAACTTTAGCAAAAACTATTACATTGCCCTAAGATGATTGGCAATAATGGATGTCAATGAGCGGCAAAATGTATTAAAAAAACTGCAAAGAATAAGCTAATTGCCAATTTATAAACTTCAGCACTCATCATTATTATCATCTATTCAATCCTTTCTTCCGTATGACCATCACACTCACACTCAACATTCATTTCTGGGTTCAAACCCTTCAGACTATCACACTCAACACTCAACATCCGTTCCTGTGTTTCAACCCTTCGCTGTATTGTAACTAAATTCAGTATTTTTTYCCGAACCTTTCCTGGATCCTTAGAGGCTGCACCTGTTCTGTATTTGATCTTTTCTTTTAGTACGCCGTGTGTAACAGGCGGTTTCGTAAATGTCTTTCCTTGAGAAGCTATAAATAAAAAACCAAATATATTATCAGCCATGTAGTAAAACTGAGGAAAAGAAATACTGTTGAAAATTAATTGGTTTTTCTATATACTGTTATTTGAGGTCTCAAATACTAAACCTCTTTCTGGAAGTGCATGTTTGCAGTTCTTTGTACAAAGTTATATTTGTCTCAGGATTTTCACTGTGTTCCTCTAAGATTTTAAAGTGAACCTTCAAAAAGAGTAAATTTAACTATCGCACAATATTACTATTGATTCATACCTTGATGATATAGAGGAGCGCTAGRAAGAAACTTAATATATAGTTGAGTCGAGTAAGGCTTTTCTTTCAGTACAAAATAACTTTATAAACCTCAGACGAATGTACATGTTGTGGCATGTGGTTATAATGAAGCAAACATTCAGATGYTATGCAAGAGGACAGGAATTGGTCGGCATCAATTAATCTATTATAATCCAAGACTTATTGCTTTTGTTTAGTGAAATCTAGAAGCCAGACTTCAAAGCTCAAGAACAAAAACGAACTCGCAGAACCGTTGCTTGTATTAGCATGCAAGACCGAGCCATCGAAGGGAAGATGATATCAAATATCTACAAGTTAGCTCACTTAAAACTACTAAATCTTATTTTTGGGTTGTCAAACGTTTTAAAATCTTGCGTGGACTGCGTCGGCGTAAAAAGCTTTGTGAAACTGACGTTTCTGACGAAGGACTATTAAACGTCCGACAAAGCTTTTTACGGTGATCCAATTTATCTACAATTTATCTACAAATTTATCTACTGCTTTTAAATCTTATTAATTAATCAGAAGTAATCTTCTATGAGGGTTTGATTTTTCGTTTTATACACAAACTAGTGTATTTGTCTTTGCTTTCCTTCCTGGAAAAGACCGATTTATGATAACGCCAGGATTTGAATCAGCCATACCGGAGCTATGTACAGCTTCAATCTTAAAATTGCCAGCGCTGAATAAGGACTAGGAAATTTATAAAAAGCAAAATCCTTTTAAAAAKCTTACTAAAAACTCCTAAAAATACATTACACCATTATCGGTTGGATGGTTAGTGTCTCTGGACGTATATAATATAAGTTTGATTTGGTTACTTTGGACTTTGAACAAGTTTTTGACTGATCGAAGTACTTTGATAACTCTTTCATTATTGTACGTATTCTGTTTTTCATAATGAATAAAGTATTGTAATATAATAAAATTATTTATAGCTTATTTCAAGTTATTCAATTATTGTTCTTGTATAGTATAGGCARGTTTCTTTTCAATCTGTTTAGTGAAGTTTTATAACACTTCTCCATCAGTGTTTTTGGAGAAACAAAAGCGACCCTTTCAACCAAAGTTCATAATTTTAATCTCATACAAACCTGCATTTGGGCCTGGTCTTTCGTTTTTGATTCGATTCGTAGATCGTGTTGATCTGGACCTTGAAACTTGTATTCGATCCTGGTGTCTGGGGAGGTCTGGACCCAGAAGGGTCAGCTCATTGATGGCTGACAGAAGCCTGTCTCGGATGGCTGGGTCAACAGACCCCATGTGATCTGGAAAACACAATTAAAGGAAATTACAAACAGATGATTATCGAGTTGTGTCAAGGTTTGCTTTCCACTTAAACCAATCCATCCATTTGGAAATTTATTCGCTAATGGCAAGAAAAGAGCGGGAAACTTTGACTTTCGAAAAATGGCACACGCGTCTACCGAAAGAACCGAAAAGAGCGGGAAAAGTGAATTACTTCAATCGGAAGACCGAGTTTTCCGCAACTTTCCGACCGAAATGATACATACCATTTGTTTTCCAAACCAGAATTTCTGRTTTTTCCGGATAAATGGTAAGCACTCAGAACAATGGAAGACAGCTGGATGTCCTCAAAATTGTCGGAGCTATTACGATGTAAAATATACCATACTAGAAGATGTACACTGAGAATGTAAATCCCGAGTCAGGGATCTAGACAGAGTATTGTCTTAGTTTTACTAATGGCTTTACCAGTTTACTAGTGGCTTTTGTCCACGGTAAGGAAACACGAAATAACTAGTGGCTTTTGTCAGCGGCAAGGAAACACAAAAGTAGCTCGCAATGTTTTCTCATGAGTGAGAAATAATGCAATATCGCAAAGCGTTTGCGCAGCTCAATTTTACTTTTTTGTTGTTGCATTGGCGAGCGCCCGAAAAGACCTTGCATTGCAACTCAACAGCGGCAACACTGTCCGGCAATGCATCATCATCATCGTCGTCAACAAAAGCAACAACATCAAGAAAAAAATGTTTGAAAAACTTCAAATGCTTGACTGAACTTTTATCAGGTAACATTTTGAAAATTGCGCGAATGCGTAAACCAATGGGCATGAAAAACGCTGCAAGAARTTTTTGTTTTCATTTAATAATTTAGTGAATAATAGCCTGAGTTGGAAAAAAGCCAAAAAGACGTTTAGCCTGCGCAAAACTTAAAAAAAAAAAAACGCAACAGATGTAGACCTTCTCCAGCACTTGAGTGGCTTTCCGCTGTTTACGTGCATGTGATTTTATCAAAGACTAAAGATAACCTCTGGATTCTCAATCAACGCCAATTATTTGCTATCGTCTCGAAATACTTTTTAATTATCGAATACTGAATTTTTTAACTACCACAAGCAAAAACCATCATTAAATCAATATAAACCTTATTCTTTGTATTTTAAATGATCATTTTCCGAGGGTATATTATGTCTCTCGGCTATTAAATTCGTTCCCGTAATTATYTTTAATATTTCAAATATACACACGTTGGAAAACCATCAATCCTTATCTGAAGTGCTTGACTAGAAGCTCTATTTTTGGTATGWATCTAGAATATTTATAGCTGCTATAAAAGAAAGAATCATAAAACAAAAAGGTTTTGAGTTCAAAATATTTTGAACGTGAGAACATGACCTGGTGTCCACGCACTTGAAAATGCGGTCAAATTACAATCATTACTTTTTATAGTGTTTATAAAATATTAACGCATGCTTAATAAAAATCCTAATAATACTATAACTAAAATCTTAATTTTATTTCTTTCTTAATGGAAAACCTCATAATCTTCGAAATAATCAATCCACTGCACACAGACCTTTGGATTTATTTTGGTACAAAACAGAAGGCTATTACATTACGTTCATTACGTTCATCTGTGTTTCCAATCAAAACACACTCATTTTTATTTTAACCATCCTTTGTTGTTTTTTCTTGACTAATCTTTTTTCTTTATCAATGGAAAACGAGGTCTTCAAACTACTGTCGGAACTCCGCTGAGGTCTGAATTTTTCAATCTCAACTACTGATCTGTGTACTGGCTTTAGGTTAATGTCAGAATGATAATAAACAACTTTATCGAAGCAGTCATGTTATACCAGAGAATTCAAGTTTTTCYCCAGTCATATATTCAGCCTTGCATACGATTTCTACCATTCTAACCCACGATTTCTACCATATTCTACTGAACCCAATATGTCTCGTAGTTAATTCCTGTAGGCGAGACAATATCATAGRAATATATAACTAGTAATCTCAGATCTACAATAAACTGCTTTTGAAGGTCGGTAAGATATTGGATCAAATTTTTCTATTTATCAGTTGTGTTTTCTACACGTGTATAAAGGTTGACAACGCAGTTGGAAAGACTGATAATGGTGTAAGCCGTACGTACTCAAACTTAAATGATTTTTGTTATTGAAATATGAGTAAATAAAACCATTATGAATATTGAGTCAATCTGAATACACGTCTGAATGATATGGTTAGAGCAAGGCTTCATCTTCGTGACTAATTTCAATATTTTTTCAAACTGGAGGCATTATTCTGTACCGCTTCAAAGAACCAAGAGACGACTTCGAAATCAGAGGAAACAATTTTATTTTTCTTGGCCGTTTCGACCTGAAAGACTAAAGGCTCTTCACCCTACACCTTTTATCTAGCCAACTGACTGATCGTTTCTGTGAGTGTTAATAATACGACTGTACTTGTATCAATTTAGTAAACATATGTTAAATTCCTTCGCTTAATAAAATGAAATTGCATCAAAAATCTTCCGTTTCTAGGACTATAGGTACTTATATATAGAAGAAAAAAGATTCTTCGAGATAAAATATGAGTTTCTAAGTGTACAGTAGACATTGTTCTTCAGTGGTTTCATAACGGGTTTACATCTTACTGTCTTACCTCGATAGCCATTGATAGAGTGTTTAGAGAAGTAAACACTCATGTTTTGTGTCAGTGAAGTGCCTTTCCTTGTAAAGGAGCTGTTTTAGATGAGTTTACGAAACGTTTGATGTCGTATAAACACCAACAAACTTCGAAATCACGACTTGGAAAACCACGTATGCAGAGAAGGCTAACCAAGCTAACTGCGCCACAGCAATGCCTTGGCTGTATACCAGAATTGTACAAAACTGAATCCTGATTTTACCAAGATTGCATAAATAGCCAATACGAGAAACCCGCTAAAGTGCTTTCAAGAACCTCTCGTCTCTATACAACGAAGACAGGTGAACCACGTCAAGAGACGTGAAACTTTGAAACCTTAAACCTTATACTTGAAAATGTCAAAACGAGCGCAGCCTTAGAACAGAGATTCCAGACATACTTTATATGTAGCTGAGTGGATCAGACCAGTGACATCGACGCCCTGCTCAGCATTAAAGCGCACGTTTCCCGACGGCCTGAAGCAAGAAAAACTAACATAAAACAGACAAGAAATAATTGGGAAACAGGATATTAAACTTACGAAAGTACAATCGAAAACGATTACCGAGCAAAACAAAACAAATCAAAAGAGACAAGAAAGTGTATGAAGGTCTCAGCTTTCATTTTTCAATCTGTTGTTTCTTATTTCGCATTCGATRGCGATACATTTTTTTACATTTTACATTTTACATGATCGAATAACTGGTAAGAGTGTAATAGAAGAAATATAGGATTTTGTTCATTCTTTCTGTATACCCGTTAGTTTTCGATTGAAATCTATCTCTTCACAGGGTGGGAGGGTGGGGGGCTGGCATAACGATTCACGCTCTAACTTTTGCTATTTTCACGTATCACGCACTTATTTTCACCCGAATCACGCGTAGCCTAACAACCCCTGTCTTCAAAATATGAAGTAAAATACACGTAAACCTCTGTGCATACTTAACAGTTGCGTGCCCTGACGCTTTCCGTCCTAGTCCTTTGTCGTGTCTTCAATAGAGTGCAAGATGACTTAGAAACGCTAAGGCACGGAATTAGGGACATTAATTAATTTATAACAGCGATCGAAGTTACTGTTCATCCAATCAGAATATTGAGACATGCACGGTACCGTCACTTTCGCATGAAAGTGYGTCTTGAGAGATTTCCGTTCCGACGCCAACCCGCTGAACAAAATTGCGTCCAAGCACTCTGTCGTCGGCTGTTGTTCAACCTTGCGCAGTCTGGTTTTCAATTCCGTGCTGTTAGAATCACCACTGGAATCAGAGCCAAGAACAGCGAAAAACGAACCAACAAAACGACCACAACAAAGATACTTTGATATCTTTTTTACTTGCTATAACTTTATTCACCTACATTAACATAGATACATGACGAAAACTAACCTGTTTGATATTGACTTTAATCATAGCGAAAATGTTTTATGTTAGACTATAGACGACAAAAAGTAGGCGAAAATAGTATGTTCTCTTTGCCCTTTAATGATATCAAAATTAGGTGTTTAGCTAAATTATATCAGGCTCAGTGTGGCTTCGTATAAAAGGGAAACCCTAGAGTGGCTTTTCCTGTACGTATACAACTTAAACTGTGTTCCACTTGCACTGCTTGAAACAGTATTACAGTATACTAACGATGGATAAAGTCCAGTAGGCTGGATGGGTACATCTGATGCTGCACCACAGACAGACAGACAGATAGACAGACGGACAGACAGATAGACAGACGGGGTATTGGTGAAGAAGAAGAAGATGCTTTGTCCACATTCCAGAAAATTGGCTTATCGCTGCCCAAAATCAGTAATAAAATGTATATTATGACTTGTTATTATGACTTAAGATGAAGTGATTACTAACTTACTAACTTGAGTGGTGGGCAGTAGTGCGAAAATATAAGAGGATACTGAGCGGAAAATAGGAAGTGGAATATGAAAAAGATCTGATATAGCAGCCAAAATGGGATTTCTCCAAATTTATCACTGCCAGTGTTAACGCTGGGAATAAGGATGGAAAACCATGCGCTAAGCTCCCAAAAAATCGACCAACCAAAAACAGAGAGTTCAGTCTGCCAACAAGAGCTTGTTTTCGACAACTGGTTTTCCTCCCTTCGTAAAAATCAACTTCTAAGTGTAATTCTAATTCGATCAATCGGTAGCCATCTAAAGTGGGTTGCTAAACCTGCTAAGTTTTCCGTCCACCGCGGAGTGGTAAATCCGATTACATTAGAACTTATTAAGTAAAGTGAAATGCCAACCAGGAAATAATGAGTAAAAGTAACGTCAGAGCTTGGTGTTTGGCTTGGTAGGACTGGATGGTTTTATTATAGTGTGGGAGGGTTTATTTATTTGAATGGTGCTCCTCCGTGAGCTCCTGATTGAAACTGCCGCATCATGTTCTGTAGACCAGACATTCCACCTGAAATAGATGGGAGAATGAGTTAAAAGAATGCTATTAACAAATATTATACGAAAGAATAGAAAAAAAAGTTACTCGCCCTGGTTCAGTATACGGAAGATAATTCTAAATGCGAGCAAGGCAATATAACGATGGATTAAGAAGGAAATTTAGGCTCCGTCCACACTAACGCTAGTGCTTTCCATGCGAATAGACCTATTCCGAATTCGTAAAATACCCTGTGCCGGTTCCTCGACGGCAGATTCATTTTCGCAGGGTTAGCCTTGATTTTGTGCAGAATATTCATGTGTTCCAGTGAAGGTCCGTGGAATTTCAAAGTGTTTGTATTGTTAAAGTTGTGCATTCTTTACTCACTGGTTACCGATGGTATTTGTGAATATTGTGACATTAAAATGAGGCTAGCCCTGAGTAAATAAGTCTGAAATCACAAGGAACAAAGCGGTATTTTACGTATTTGAAAAAGCTATATTTGAATATCAACATCATGATACCTAAGCACAAAGAAACATTGGGTCTATTCGCCAAAAAAAAAAAAAAAAAGCGGAGCGTTTCAAAAACACATTTGTATAGACGTGGCCTAAACACCATCTAAAGAGGTTTGTAACTGTACTGACGTTTCGGACTCCATGTTTCGAGTCCGACAATTATTTTGTGATGGAGTGGATAATTGAGCGGATACTGAAGAAAGTCTTTCTACTCACCCATCTGCTGTAGTACCCGAGGATCCATCATTTTCGCCATTTGGTGATTGAGTTTCGTCATCTGCGATGGGTTGACGTTTCTCGTCATATCTCCACCTGTCAAAATATAACGTTAATGTTATTAAATTATCAAACACGAGAAATATAACGAGCTCGCTAATTGCTGACTATAGGGTTTACGTAAAAAAAGACAAAAAACTGTCATCGCTAATCACCAACGCAAAGTACAAGCTGTGAAGGGGCCTCTGGCAGCCGCTATATAGCCCATGTATGACCTCGGAGCACAGCGCTAACCAGTTTGAATTTGTTAGGGTTGATATCAGAGAAAGTCAAGATCGCGCAACCTCTTAGAAATATGTTTTATAAAAGCAATATAAAACTGGCTATGTTTCTGTGCCGTGTTCTAAACATTGGAGTCGTAGAGCACTAGAAAAAAGAGAAATAGAACTACGTGTTCCTTAGCCCGCTGCTTCTCTCGTATTCTACAGCTCCTATAGTGTTTATATTACAGTAGAGAGACACGAGTGCGTCTTAAATTGCTCAAAAAACCTTCAATTTTTATGGATACCCTGAAACAACCGCTGGGATGATCTACGTGTAAGTCAAATCACGACTAACTCACAGATTGAATTGTAATTTAGCGTGTTTCGCATTGAGAGGAAAAGAGGAAAACCCGAAGAAAAATCCCCGAATCAAGGGAGAGACCTAACAAACCTACATGTGATGCCGAGTCCAGGAATCAAACCCCCAACCCCAGAGGTGAGAGACGAGTGCACTACCTTACACCAGAATGAACCAAGAAATAAAACATATAACATACCTTTGAATAAACCTTTAATTCCTCCCATTTTCTTGACCATCTGTGCGAACTTCTGGTACTGAGACAGCAGCTCCTGGACCTCTCGTACTGATACACCTGCTCCTCGTGCAACACGCGTGGCGCGTCCAGGTTGGCGGGAAAATAGTTTGGCGCCATTGGGGTTATCCAGCTCTTTGGAGGTTAAAAATATTAGACAGTTTAACTTTAAAATCATCTCGATAATCTTTATTGATGGGCAAGAGTTTTTATATGCATTCCTTTTCATATTAACACCTATTTCAATGTTAACTTTGTACCAGGATGAACGTTAAAGCGAAGTGCGGGCACATCAGTTTTGAAGAATTTTAGGAAGTCTTTTTTTTCGTAAAATATCAACTTTATGGTCTCTAGCGGTACATGCTAAGCTGTCTTTTTCTGAAATACATGGCCAGAAAGGTACTAATTTGGCGAGAAAATCGAGGGAAATTGAACACTGCGCTATTCAGGACATGATTGGCTGATGATAGTACAACAACTCTAACCAAGCGAAGAACACCCACGAAAATTAGCCAATCAAAAATGTGGCTCTGAATAACAGACTCACAAAAAGTTTGACTCCTCACATACCTGAGTCACTCATGCTGTCCATGATGGTCATAAGCTTTTTTAACCTGGCCATTGACTCCTTTTCGTTGCCTTTCGACAGAAAATCACTACTGAAGCCAGGAATCATGCCCTAAACGTAATATCAAATGGTCAGGATAATAACTTGTGTAACACAGTTACACAATTGGGAAGCACCGGTGGCGCGCGCTGCTAATACGCCGCCTCTCACCAATGCGGCACGAGTCCTGCCGATCTCGATGTGGTATGTGAGTAGAGTTGTTTGTTGGTTCTCTTCTGTGCTTCGAAGGTTTTTCTCCGGGTTCTCCGGTTTTCCTCCCTCCTCAAAAATCAACTACTAAATTCTAATTCAATCTTTGGGCTTTCACCTGGTTTGGAGCATAAGCTCTGTTGTGATTGTCCCACGCTGGGATACAACAGCGAAAGCTAGTAGAACACTGTACAATTTATTATTCTGAGAGAACTACTTATGCAGTAAGAGTCAGCCGAAGTTTTTTAAGGATGATTGTGATAACAAAGTTTAGGATGACGATTATGATGATGATGATGATGATGATGGTGATGCAATAGTTGATGATGATGAGTATCTTACCATGATCTGTCCAAATGGCCCCATCTTCATAATATTTTGGAATTGTTCATACATGTCCCGTAAGCTAAAAACACCTAAAAATGAAGTAAAGATAAAATAACCAACAGCACCCTTACACACAAGGACTTCATTTCGAATTTTTATACAACTTCAGCTTCCAGGAATAAGAAGACAAATAAAAAATCCTTAAACACAAATTATTTTAATATTTAGTGCACGTGTCAGAGACGAAACGTTAGTGCGCGCACAACTCAATGTAGCTATGCGGTGTTGTACACAGGACAAAATCGTCTGCAGGATTTGATGGCTATCGTGTTTTTATGCTACCCTGCTGGAGTCATAATAACAAATGCAATTTCGCACCGAATAATGCGTAAACGCTCGTATCTAGCCTCCGTTGCAGACATCCTGCGAGGTTCGGTTCGGGACAGAGGATGAAAAGCACGCGCAGTTTTCGGATGATTCTCCTATGAAGGATCTACGCTCCAAAGTGTCAAGAAAGTAGAACACTAAAACTAACTTGTGAAAGTATCATCTACCCACCATGCTTGAGTTTGTCTATCAGTTCTTCATTATCTTCTAGTTTCAATTCATTCACTTTATCAATAAGTCCCTCTATGTCTCCCATACCTAAAAAATACCAACCAGAGTAAAGTACCAACAATACCAAAGATTAAGAGACAACAATTTGAATTAAGATCAGTTCGTGGATTATTACTGCATACTGATGAGTATGCAATGTGTTGTAGTACGTAGTGCACTCTCCCCTTGCCTCCGGGCTCTTGGGTTCCATCCCTGAACTAGGCATCACTAGGCAATCAACTAGGCTTGTGACTAGAGTTTAGAGCTTGTGACTTGAGTTTTTCCCTTGAGTTTAAGGATTTTCTCCGAGTTCTCTGGTTTTTCTTCCTTCTCAAAAACCTTCCAGCTAAATTGCCATTAAATCTGTGAGTTAGCCGTTCCCTGACTTAGATCAGCCCAGAGGGTGTTTCAGGGTTCGATCTGTGAGTTAGCCGTGCCCTAACTTTGATCAGCCCAGAGGCTGTTTCAGGGTTCGATCTGTGAGTTAGCCGTGCCCTGACTTAGATCAGCCAAGATTTTGTTTCAGGGTTCAATCTGTAAGTTAGCCATGCCCTGGCTTTGATTAGCCCAGAGATTGTTTCAGGGTTTGATAAAATTTGAAAGTTTAAAAGATATTGGAAGCACTTACCCAACAATTTGCTAATAAATGGTCTTGTTTTGAATGGTTCAAAGTCATCTATATGCTCTCCAGTACCAATGAAGATAATTGGACTTTTGGTCTCAGCAACCCTGTTCAGAGACAATTTTTAATGTGGTTGAATAAAATCTAGGGAAAATTAAACTTAATCTGAGTTGCAGTGAATAGTCTAAAATGTTGATACTTACGCACTGAGAGCACCTCCTCCCTTTGCATGACCATCCAGCTTGGTCACAATAACAGATGCAACATCGACTTTAGCTTTGAAGGCTCTGGCCTGTTTAAAGAGTCATAAAAGATGAATGCTAGCAATTATCAAAAACAATGCTAATAAATGATTTAGAAATAGCAGTAGTCTATGTCTAGTTGAACAAATTCCAAATTCCTCTGTTGGGGTGGGGTCAGGGGGGGGGGTAAGGATAATTTCTGGAACTACACATTAACTTTTTGCAGAGAGAACAGGTGGCTTACTTACTTGTGATTCACAGGCTTGACCGTTGGTGGCATCCATCACAAAGATGATATTGTCAGGACTCTGGAACATGGCGAGAAGAGAATTTCACTGTTATTGTTCACACATTGTGTACATATATGGTAATAAAGATTACAATCATACTTACAATCGTGTTTGAAACTTGCAACATCTCTTCAAAGAGAGAGTCTTCCTGTTTGTGTCGTCCACTGTAAAACACATTAAATTGTCAATATCCATATTGCTCGTAAGGGTAATGCATTTATGCATCATCAAGGTGATCTTTTCGTGTGATTGGACCCACAACTTGGACATCACACCTTAGACATTTTCTGACTAGACACTAAACATGGTACTTTAATAAATTCTAGCTTCCGTACAAAAATATCTTTGTTTATCATGACTAGTATTACATGACGATGTTTGTACCTAAGGTAATGTTTATTGAATTCAGAAAAGGCGGCCTATGGAAATGAATAAAAAATAAACATACTTTTGGTACTGGATCCTCAATATTATTTTATCTGTATACCATGGCCAGGTACGAAACTATACATGCATATGATGTTACATTATTACATTTACATAAAGGATATTAAATGGCCATGTAGAGATGCAGATTTTATCTTCCGAGCGTCAAGGTGATATAACTTACGAGTGAGTGCAGTGAACGAGTAAGATATTCTCAACATGAGAAGAAAAAACCTGTATCTCCAAGCTGCCAAGTAAAAATTAATGGATTATTTTTTACTATCGAATGTGAATCCTAAGAATCCTTCCCAAATGGTGTTATCTTCAAATATGAAGAATAATAGAGAAAGATAAATGAGTTGACAGAGTCAGAACTAACCTTGTGTCCACAATAATTATTTCAAAATTCTCTTGTTTAAATTTTTCTACTCCTTCTTGAGCAATAACGACTGGATCTGTCTCTGTATAGCTAAAAAAAAACAACAATGCAATCCCATGAGTAATTGTAACTTTGCATTCCTTTATGGTCTGCTTGTCTATATATAGCAAGTTTCATTTTCATTCTTTTTTTTTTTTTGTACTTGGTAATAACTTTATACAGTTTATAGCTTATGTTGAAATGTTGAGTTCATATTTTTTTAGTGTGTTTTTACGTTTTATACAGGGTTCATGCTGAGGCAGCCACTTAAAATTCAAGGACTATCCAAGGAGTATACAAGGACCCAAAAATAAGTTTTCAAGGAGTATGTTCAGCTAACTATGCCAAGGTTTTACACGGTGTTTGCACATGGCCGACTTTCAGATTTTCTGATCTTTCTGACTAGATCTGAGTTTTCAAGGAGTTTTGCTAAAATCATAAAATTCAAGAGTTTTTCAAGTGCCCTTGAAAACGTGAACTAAATTTAAGGAGTTTTCAAGCAGTTTAAGGAGTAGCACGAACCCTGTTTATACTGTCACAATGTTTCATAAGTAAGTTATGTATTTACAAAATCTTTCTTAATTCAAATTCCATGAGCAAAGAAGGAAGACTGCAAATTACATTTATAGTTATATCCTCATTCAAGATGCTGAAAATTTTCATACATGCCATTTAATATGAACATTATTAGACTAAATGTACCTTCCATAAAAAGGAATCCTGGCTTTAGTTGCATTCTGTTTCAGCTGATCAAAAGCACCTGAATAGGATAATAATAATTTCAATTCAGCCAAGTCCCACTTAGAACATTAAACATCACAGCATATAATCTTTCTTAACTCAATCAGACATACCCGCTCTGAATGTGTCAGCACAAATCAAGCAGGTTTTCCAGCCTTTTCTTTGATAATAATAAGCCAACTGTAAAAAGTAAAAAAACATATAAGATCATGTAAGGAAAATATAATATAATAATAAAATAAAAACCACACACAAACAAAACAAACAAGAAACAAAGTAGAAATAGAGGATATTACATGGGTGCGCAGAGATACGAATTTTATCTTCRAGTGTTCAATTGATATCTCATGAGTGAGCACAGCGAATGAGTGAGATATCTAAATTGAACACGAGAAGATAAAATTTGTATAGATCTCCAAGCGGCCATGTAATGTTCTGTTTATTATATAGATATTTGATGAAACTTAAATAAAACAAAAGCTCAAAAATTCTCTATTTCTTTATTCTTTATTGTCAACAGCGATATCTTCACGTGTGAAAAATATGGTATCTTCCACTGGTGAAAGATATCAAGTTTTCGACACTAGAGAAAACCTGGTATTTCATCAATATCTATATACTAATGAAAAATATCGTATTCATCATGTAATATGACATGTATAATGGTTAATGATATTTATCCATTTGTTTCATGACTGCAATCAAAACATTGAGGCCAATCATGAGACAAACAGATGATTATCAAATCATTTATAATAAAGAAATGATTGAGAAAAGGAACAAAAAAGAGAAAATTATCTAAAACACAAAGGAAATCATGGTAAAATAAATCCTAAAAGCAATCTGACAATCTGATTACCATACCTTTGAGCATGTTGTGGTCTTACCACATCCTTGTAAACCAACAAACATAATGACATTCTTCTTCCCTTTGCTTGGAGTCCACGCCTTTACTCCAGGATCAACCAGCTGGTTAAGAATAAATAAAAACATTTAGTTCTATGCCAAAACATTTGAATCTAAAAGCGTATAAAAAGGACACAGTATATGGATACAAATTTCTGAGACAAGATGACTACATCTGGCAAAATACATACAGTAGCTCTTGTCAAAATTTAAAACTTAATTTACACACTATGATCACTGATAAGGCCAAACAAAGCTAGACAGAGCTATGACAGCTGACCAATATACTGTAGAATGTAGCCCTTCCTGATAAACAATGAAATGAAATTTAAAGGTGATGATCATTTACCTTGCATAGTTCTTGGAAGACAGCATGCTGGATCATTTTTCGTTTGTTTAGACCAGCAGCCATGTCATCAAAATCAATAGCAGATCTGAGAAAAAGAAGCAAGATGTTGTCTAAAATATGTACTTCTCAGCTTTCTTCCTAGAGATAAAATAACTTAAAATAATCCTTACAATTTTCAGTTCAATAAAGCAGCTACTGCACCTCTGGAGAACAATTGGTTTGAAATTGGTTTGAAAAAGCTGCCTATTCAATTAGTGCTTGAACTACATTACATGTAAGTTTTCATTGAGTATAATATGGTTTTGAGTATATTACGCACATATTGAGAAATTACAGAACCCTGAAGTACATGTATTGGCGGTTTAATTACGGTTTAATTAACATATTATGCGATAAAAATAGATCAGGCCTGCGTTATTTCTCGCTCATTTGATAAGATTACATGTGCGCAGAAGGGATGCACAGAAACGATGCCCATGAACATCATTAGCCTGTTGCAGCTTTTGTTTCTCATATCCTTCATAGCAAGGAAAATTTTAAGAGATTGTATTGGAGGAAAGTGGTGATGGTGGTAGGTACAGTAGAGAGTAATGGCATCACACTTCCTTTTATATATGTAGCCATTATATTCTCTGGGAGATCAGGAGCTTATTGGGGGAAAACATTAATACAACAAGAAAATACTGCAATCCCCTCCTCCCAGGTGGTAAATTTATATTAACTTCCTTAAACCCATTCTATTATATTCTATGATAAAAAAATGCTTACTTGACATTTTCCCTTAGTCGTTTTACGAGATGTAAGTTGACATCAGCTTCTATTAGAGCAAAGCATACTTCTTTGAGCATAGAATTAAGAACCTGAAATAAAAAAGAAACATATACAAAACTAAGATATCTGTAGCTTTATATGAATTATATTAAGAAACTCGAGTGATATGACTGTAAAGACCATATATTGGGGACAGGCCTACATGTAAGATGTGCATGTAAGATGCCACCACAGGTAATACCCACATGAGTGGAGATTGTCTGCACATGCTCTAAGTCTGTATATAAATAAGTTGAAACGTCTTCATGCTATTGTAAAAATATGACTCTCAAACATGCCTGACAAACGGGCTTCACAAAATGCCAAAAGTAACTGTAGTGCCAATGCTTGAAACTTAAGACTAATTCTTTCATATTGTGTTGGTTAATACAGTATCTTGGTCTCACAGGAGTATACTCACCAAATTATTTGTATGCTCCTAGAAAACAAACATTTATTTTCTCACTCAAATTCTTCTGAATAAAGTACTCAAGTGATGTTGTCACAAAATTCAATTTTCGCTTGATCATATTTTTGGTTGACAAATTCGATAGACAATCAAAAAAGACGATTACGTTTGACGAGAATCAGTCAATTATCAGCTGAGATACAGTATGACCATTTGAATATATAATTACTCCATACAAATCGCTGTATTTTCAGCATGGTTCCAAACGTTTTGAACCCAGCAAAAAATACAGTGATTTGTATGGAGTAATTATGTATTCAAATGGTCATATCTCAGCTATTTGCCTGATTCTCATCAAATGTGGTGTGTAAACGTCTTTTTTGATTGTCTATAGAAATTAGAGATCGAAAATAATGAATGAATGTGACGTCACACTTTAGTACTCTATTCTTGGAAAACATGCTGAAAGGCATGCATGCACAAACATCCTTCTCTAGTGTGTAATAGTAACTTGGGACATCAATCCAATCATGGAAAAACATGGAAGCAGAAAGTTCTGGTTTGTTGCTAGCAATCATGCAAAGGTTGAGTTCAGTTAAGTTCTTACAGTATGTCGGCAGTAACCCCAATTGTCCCCTTTTATGATTGCGATGTAAAATGAAAATGTACAGTATGGGAATATAATGGTGCTCTATCTGCTATGCTGACGGCCACAATAATGGATGCAACAATATTGTGAAACTTAATTGGCTTTTCAATTCCAGCCTATTCAATCAAATGAAATCAAACGTTCGATTCAWTGAATTCAATTGCATTCCACAATCAAATGAAATCAAATTCACAAGAAAATTAGCGCCAATCAAACATAATCGAACATTCGATTATTCGTTCAATTGTAATTTAGGATCGATTAGAGTCAATCAAACTTTTGATTGTGCATTCGATTACGTTTGATTGAAATCAAATGCAATCAAATTCCAACTTTTTTTGCATTCAATTTGCCGAATGCAATCGAATTCAATCATGTGATTGTGTTCGATTTAATTCAATTTCTGAATCATTTGATTAATTACATCGGTTTCAATGGTTTAGTTCAATTTACACTGTATATTACTAGAAAAGCTGTACATGTAAGATACATGAAATTACAGATTTTCTAGTAATATACACTGTGAAGCATCAATTAAAAAAGCCAAGTTCCACTCATGTGGACGTGAATGACTTTCAATCTTTTAAAATTTAGTCGGCCTTAATATAAAGAAGGACGTTTAAATTTTATGATAAAGTGTATTACATTAGCAAGCCTTTTCTAATAGAGCGTCTTAATACAAAACTTCTTCGAATATGACCTTTAGCTTTCCTTCTTAATAGCGGGACAATATTACCGGCGTAAGTGTCTTGAACAATACCTTTAACAGTACTAAACTAAAGAAATACTATCGTTCTTCATAAACACGACTTCATTAACTAGGTTTTGGTAAATAAAACAGAAAATAAAAATACAATAACCCGCTTCTTTCACTCACCTCTTCATTGATGACCGTCGCGTTACTTAACGAACGTAAAGCCGTCGTTATCTTCCTTCCTAATTCTGCTAACACCATTTTGAAAGCTATGTACAATAGATTAAAGCCTTATTTCAAGATATTAGAGGATTGGTTGAAGAAATAGTGGATTTCTAATGAGAAAAATGCGATTTTTCTGGGTGAATTTTGACCCTCATCATCGAATCTTGTCCGCCATTTGCTGCTTCCTGCGGTAGTCCCCATGAAAGCAACGTCATTAGCTCTTAGTCCTTTGATGTTTAATCGGTCGCGGTAACCACAGGATACCCAAGATATATTTTTATTTTTTAATATTTTATTTAGCATTTACCTCACATCAAATCATAGTTTAAAAAAATGAAAAATATAAACAAATTACAAGCAGATGAGAGGTAAGGGACACCGTCACAGGTTTCCCCAATTACGACGGTCCCTTGAATAAAATGACATTAAATTATCGAACATTAACTCAATTACAAGAGATATTTTTTTTGCTAATGAGCGTCCCTTGCTTCATTTGATGCAGACGGTCCTTATTTAAAAAAATGTTGCTCGATAGTGGTCAATAGGAACATAAAAGTGGAATCATGACAAAAACCTATCATCTAAAAGCGTACTCAAGTGTTTTAGTGACTTACATTCATCATACAAGGCCGAAATACAAGATTTGGGCTCCCTGTGGATGACTTGTCAAAAATCAAAATGGCGGACAAAATGGTTTCCAGCACTGAGTCGCTGAGATGTGCATTTTGCAAATCACAAAACGTTGCTTTATCCAAGTGTTCGCGATGCAAATCCACGTGGTACTGTAGCAAAGAGTGCCAAAGATCGCACTGGAAGGTGCATAAAAAAGTGTGCAGGACCTTTGAAGCAAGTTTGGATGCTTTACAACAAGGAAATGAGCCACAGACTTTTCAAACGGCTCACGTAGTAGACCAAGCCAGACTTGCAGACTTCGTCTGCAGTGAGCTAAATAGCCGTGGATACTGTGTTCTCAATCAGTTTTTACCACCAAGTTCTACTAAAGAGATTTTACGTGAAGTCAAAGCCCTAGACGAGGAAGGGAGTTTCAAGGATGGTCAACTCAGTGGAGGATTGACTGCCTCAGAAGAAGACGAAAAAGTTACTGAAAAAAGAATTCGAGGTGATAAGATCACTTGGATAGAAGGAAATGAGTCTGGAGTCGTCTCTATTAAAGAATTAATGCACAAGATGGATTGTTTGGTCTTGCAGTGTAACGGTGAGAGTAGAAAACTAGGTGGGTATGATATCCAAGGGAGGACCAAAGCAATGGTAGCGTGCTACCCAGGTAAACAGACGGGTTATCTACGACATGTTGATAATCCTGATCAAGATGGACGATGTTTGACAGTGATTTTCTATCTCAATGAAAACTGGTCTGAACCTGATGGAGGGAAGTTGAGGATCTATAAAGGAACGAATCATATTGACATAGAACCTGTTTTCAATCGTCTCTTGTTATTTTGGTCAGATAAAAGAAATCCGCACGAAGTTTTGCCTGCAAATTTTCTTCGATATGCTATTACTGTATGGTACTTTGATAAAGAAGAGAGGCAAAAGGCTAAAGAGCTACAGAAACATAAAAAGATGGGTGAATTTGGTATAGAAGTAGCTATAAAGGACTTACAAGAGAAGAAGTTAGAGAGAGATAGAGCACAGATGAAACTAGACGAAGAATCCGAGAGGTTGGTCAAGAGTATGATGTCTGAAGATGAGCTAGATGCTATGGCGCAATTGATTCAAGGACAGGCTAATCCGAAAGAGATGCTTACATTGTATGGTATATCACCTAGTATTTTGGACGCTCTGTTAAAGGACAACTGACCCCAAAAATTGCCGTTTTTCATATAAAACTACAACGTACATAGATCACATAAATTCAACTTTGAACTCTGATACAGCTTCTATGTCGCCGAAAAGAAATAATCAATTCGCGAAAAATAGCAATAGAAGAGCGCCATATTTGAGC